GTAATTACAGTTTTACTATTACGTACAAAAGTTATCTCTTCACAACCAAAAGTGTTGAATGACTGTGTAACTTTGATCATTTTGTCAATAGCTAAAGAATTTTTCCCATTCAGAAAGAATTTCTCTTTTCTCTATTTGAAGTTAAAGAATTTTTTTCGTGGAGTCAAAAACAGAATTTTAACTGTATTTATAATGCATCTTAAATAATGCTACAGGCCCAATTTATATTATTTCATCTAGAAATGTCATATAATTTTATCTAGATGCTTGATTCAATGGTTTAGTAATAAGATATATATAAGCATTGCTCAAAACTAAGAAATGCTAACAAAAAATATTTTATTCTATTATTTTTCTACATTTTGTCATATTTGTCTGTGGGGTGTGTGTGTGTGTGTGTATGAAATCTGGAACAAGGAAAATATCATTACAATAAAGAAATGAAAATACCATTTATATACAACCCAAATATTAGGTATTAATTGATATTTCTTCCATCAACATTTTCACTTAAAAAGTTATTCAGTTCTGAAACTCAGATGGTTGAGAAAAAATTTCCCTTGTCCTCGTCTACAGAAAATATGAAAATGAATCTTGCTTTTTAAAACTTTAAAACTAGGGAATTGGAGAGTTGGCTCAAAAGTTAAGAACATTGGCTACTCTTGCAGAGGGTATGGGTTTGGTTCCAGCACCACATAGTGGCTCACAACCCTATATTACTTCAGCTCCAGGCATCTGATGTCTTCCCCTGACCATCAAACGCACCAGGCACCCACATGGTGAACGTACATATGCGCAGACAGACATACCTACAAAATAAGCAAAATAAATGTGTTTAACAAACTTAAAATTAAACCTTATACTCTTGTACATTTCCTATCTTGCTACGTTTTGAAGATTTTTGAAAACACAAAAGTTGAATGCCTAAAAAGTTGTAAATATCAGAAGAAGAGTATGCACCGATGCATGTGAACTAGAACCCTGCTCAAGTATGCTGAAGAATTGGGCAGAAACTAACAATGTAGCTGATTTCAGTAATTCCAACAATGTACATATTTGTTTTCTTCTTATATAATCCATTAAGGTGTTTTTTTTTTTTCCTTTAAAGGGAAGCAATAATAAATTATTAATTCTCCAGCTTAACTAGAAATGCCTTAAAAATGAATAAAATTTTCAGGTTATTTTTTGTTGTTCTAAAAATACTATCAGGAGCACTTGCTAAGAAAAGACTTTTTAAAGCAAAACAAGGCAAACACTTATACGTACTCTCAGTTTCAGACTCATGGCCTATTGACCATGTTCCATGCATTACTGTAAAGCGTAAATAAAGCAAGAATTAAGGTTTCAAAAGTAAATTTTTATTTTTTAAAACAGAGCTGAAAGGGAGGAAATTAAGTTAGAAAAAAGTAGAGTTTCCACAGAAGGAGGTGAGCTGACTATCTGAATGAAGCCATCGGCAGTGTTGAATAACATTAAGTACTCAGTATGTTTAAAGACTATGTCCAACTTAGAGTAAATCTCCACTAAAACTAGAACTAGAAAAGAGTCATATGGTTTTCCCCAAACAGAAGGGCTCAGGATTATCTGACACAGATCAATACTGTCATCACTAGTTTCTTTCTCCTCATCAACCTGCCATCTTTTATGCTGGTTTCATCTTCATGGTGCTAATAGCATCGCTGTGATTTACAGTGACTTAACATTTACCATGAAATGTGAAGACAGTGTAGCCATTTCTTCATATCCTTCTTAAGCACAATAACCAAAAAGTTTCACCAGATCATGCATGTTCTTAACCTCCACCTCCATCTAATCCCACCTCAGGTCTCATAACCAGAACTGGGTCATATACCGGTTCACAAACATAACACTGTAAATGATAATAGAATTTCTCTTACTGAACTGTATCAGTCAGTGTCGACAATAATTTTAGGGAGGTCACATTCTTTGGTATGAGAATGCGTGGAGAGATGCATACAGATGTAAAATACATATGCCTGCATCCCAGTACAAAGGAAGATGAGGCAGGAAAATTGCCTTGAGTTCAGGATTAGCTTGGCCTACATAGTGAGTGCTAGGCCAACCTGGGTCATAGTGTTAAAAGCACAAAAGACCCTGGATAGGCAACCCAATCCTGAGAAAACAGAATGATTCTTGAGGTATCATAATACCTGATTTCAAGTACAGTATGGAGTTATAACAAACAAAACAAAAGCCTAACACAGAATGACACTAACAAACACAGAACACATATAGAGCAAGAGAAGAGAAGGGAAGGGAAGGGAAGAGAAGAGAAGAGAAGAGAAGAGAAGAGAAGAGAAGAGAAGAGA